GCGGCGGGGCTGGGGGTGGGGCCCGGAGCAGCAGCAGGCTCAGGGAGGCCAGCCAGGCGGGTCCCAGTCGGTGTGAGAGCGCGAGGCGAGCGGAGCGGCGCGGCGCGACCACCCCGTACAGCAGCCATCGCCTGGCGCAGCCAGCGCAGCGGCGCAGCGGCGCAGCGGCACCGCCAGGGCGCCGCGGGCCTGCCGGGGATCATCCGGGGCACCCCTTCGGCCCCGGCGACCTCTTAGGGGCGGACGGGCCGAGTACACTGTGAGTACGCACACCGCTCCACCGCACTCCGTGCCGGCCCCGCGTACCCCGCGGACCCCACGCACTGCACCCGAAGGTCCGGCCGACCCACACCCGGGCACGTGAGAGCGCTGCGGAGCGTTGCTTGGCGTGGGGCGGCGGGCGCAGGGCGCGGGGCCGGTGCGGCGCTGCGGTGGGAGCGAGCTGCGAGCGGGCGGGCCTGGCCGGCCCGGGCCCCCTGCCCTGGTCTGGTCAGGTCCGTCAATCGATACGCGCAAAGCGCAGCGACGACGCAGCGACGCCCCACGCAGTGACACTCGCGCGGTTACCTCCCGGCTCACCCACTCACCCACACCCACTTACCCAGTCACCGGTCGGGCTTGCCCGGCCGAGCTGCTAAACGCCAGTTAGGTGGTCGGGGCAGGCCGACGTCTTCTGTTTCTACTCAGGCAGTGGCTATCCGCGCCGGTTAACTAAACGGCTTATAAAAGGGTACCGAGAATGATTTTGAAATGTTTTTCTGATTAATCTCACTTATCAAGTGTGACGATTTTGTATCGAGGCTCTGTTCAGACATGGGTAAATTAACTTCTGAATCAGAATTGTTGTACGTGCCGTGTTTAAAATCATTTTGGGGTATCTGCGCTGCCCACTAGGGCAGTCTGCTAGGATGTTGTCGTGTGGCTGAACGGGGAGGTGCTGCTCCACGACACCGCCGGGCGCGAGGGGCTGGCGCCAACGCTGGGTGCGGATACCGATACTGGTCCCTACCTGTTGCAGGGCCCCAGGCCTCGGGCCGCGCAGGACGTGAAGGAGGCATGGTGACCCGTCCGGGGCTCCCCAGCGCCGTGCCGGCCGGGCCGATGCCGGTTGGGCCTGGCGTGGGAGGCGGCGCCGGAGGCGGTCCCCTCGGCGGCGCAGGAGCCGCGGGGCCGGCGAGGGCTGCGGGGGCGGGGCCCGCCGCGGGGCCTTACAGATGAGGCTACGCCCCCGGGCTCGGGCCTGGGCCCCACCCCGGCATGGAGTACGGCGCACCCATGCCCGCGGCCCTGCCCATGCCGCCGCTTCCACCCCGCAGCCCCATGCTGCCCAGGGCCCCCATCCCCCCGGCCGGCCCCCCGGGCTCCTCGCCGGACTCGGACTCGGGCGGTGCGGGCGGCGACGCGCAGGCCGCAGAGGGCAGGCGGCGGCTCGACTACCAGACGTCCGACTGCTCGAGCAGCAACCCGGGCAGCCCCAGCCCGTGCCCATCGTCCTCGCCGTCCGAGTACGCGCCCCCGCGGCCGCCGCCCGCGCGCTACCACCCGCCCCCGGACCTGCTGGTGCACGCCGCTGACTTCGGTGAGTGGGAGGGCGGCGCGCCAGGGCGCCACCGGCCGGTGCGGGGAGCCATGGACACGCACCGCGGCTACGCTGATCAGGTGAGTGACAAGTAGACATCTCTCGTGGTGAGACCATCTGCATCCTCTAACGCGAAGCTTCGCCCGCAGCGCCCCTACGGCGCAGCCGACTACGACGACATGGGTGGCTACGTAGCCTACGCCGACGACACCCCTGTCGACGATACGCCAGAAGACCAGGAAAGGGAAGACGACGCCCTGCCGGAGGACCCTTACCTAAGCTCTTCGTACCCGGAGGAAGACTCGGACATGACGACGACCGACGACGGCTATCGTGTCCACCTGGCCTACCCTCCTGGACAGGGCTCCGGGTACAGCCGGAGGAGCTACGCCGCTGGACGGCAGCACAGCTACCCCGGGGCCGTGCCGGACCCTAACTCCCTGCAGCCCCCTGGCATGTACCGCCGCGGCTTCTCCGAGGACGTCAACGAGATCCGGGCCGTGGGCTCCGGGCAGGGTTACGGCGGCGAGTACGACGACGACAGCAGTTACGGTGGCCACCACCGCGGACTGCCACTGCAGCGGGGGGTGGCCGACGGGCTGAGCGACGGCCACAGCGACACATCCAGCGTGCGCAGGTAAGCCGCCATACCCTCATCCTGATTGAGTTCCGGGCTCTTTCTTGTTATCCCCGATGTCTGAGATGCCGTGTACGCGTTCGAAACACATAAACAGTTCGTGTTCCCGTCTTTTACAACAGGCTGAGCAATTCTCCCCGCCACTCACGGATGCTCAGCGACGCCGACCTGTCGGAGCGGAGCGAGCGGAGCACGGGCAGCGGCGGGCCGCGCCTGGGCGCCGAGCTCCTGGACGTGTCTCGTCGCGGCCGCGCCGACGGCGGCGAGTCTTCCGCACTGCGATCGTCGGCCTACCTCCGACAGAACGTGAGCGCGGACGGCGTGATGATGCGGCAGCCACCGCCGCCCCTCAGCCTGCCGCCGCCGGAGGAGGACGGGGCGTACATGGCCCCGCCGCCGCCGCCCCCGAGGCGCCTCCCCGCGGAGCCGACGTCCTCGTCGCTCTACCGGAGGCCGTCGCTAGACCCGGGGCTGGAGGCGGCCGTGCAGTCCCTGCGGCTCGACCACCACAGTCACGGCCTGGGGCAGGGCCACCACGACGACCCCCCTCCCACGAGCCCCAGGCCCACCTCGTACCACGGCCGCTGGCGCAGCCCGAGGCCGATGTCGTCCTCGCACCAAGACATCTTCTACCGGCGGCATACCTTCGACTCGACCAGCGACGAGGCAAGCATGTACCTTCGCCCCTCGCACCAGGACGACCAACCCCCTAAATCGCCCGGATACAGTCGACGACGGTACAACGTCCCGGGGGAGATGTCGAGCAAGGGGAGCACACGCGCGGCCTGGTATCGCGCTAACCGCTCCGACTCGCGACCACCGACCGGGCCGAGGAGTACGCCGGCCTCACCCAAGAAGCTAGCCGGGTCATGGGACCCGGGTCCAAACGTCAACTACTTCTTCTCCAACCTCCCCGTCAACGCAGGCGACCCTTACCGCACCATTGAGCCGGCCGGCGTGTCCTCGCGCCCGCGCCGCAGCAGCCGCACAGAACTCAGCATCGATCTGGACCAGGACGCTCTGAACCTGGACGCGGATGACGAGGAGAGCGACGCCCCGCTACCGTCCATCCCCATCCCGGAGGTGTTCGTCGAGGAGGCTCGCGAGGACGAGGACGACGGTGAGGAGGCGTACGTGCCGAGCAACACCGACGTGCGACGCGGCGCGTCGCCCTACGCCTACAAGGACCGCCACTACCTGGACGAGTGGGCGTACGCCAACCAGTCGGGCCCACCAACCTCCCCGAGGGTGGCCCCCTCGTCCCGGGGGCCCTCCAGAGGCCCCTCCAGAGGCCCCTCCCCGCGGGGGGCGCGAGTGCCCTCGCCCCGAGTGGGGCCTCGAGGCTACAGCCGCAGTCCCCTGCCGGCGCTGCCCTCGGCGCCCAGGGACCCTTCACCGGTGTACGTGCCTACCAGCCGCGCAGAGTACCTGGCCGGAGCGACGGAGCCCGTCGCCGACTACCACATGGAGAGCGAGAGAGATCGGCGCCGCCAGGGCGACTACCACATGGAGAACGAGAGGGACCGGAGGCAGGCCGACTACCGGCGCACTCAGCTGTCCGCGGTGTCGCCGGGGCCCGGGGCCGACTACCGGGGGCACCGGGGGGCGCGCCCGTCCTTCCACGCCGTCAAGTCGCTGGACACCGGCATAGGACACCGCCAGGAGTACGCGGATGACGTCGAGGACGACCTCGTCCAGGACCGCGACGAGGAGAGGTCCGCGCTCACACCCACCCAGCACCAGGCCCTTTCGCTGTCGCTGTCGCCGCCCCGGCGGCGGAGGAAGATGCCCGCCCTGCATCCGAGCGGGTGAGTCAACGTACAGAGCGTGCCAACCAGTGCCAACTAAACGCAGAGAGGATATCGTCAGACTCCGGGGCCGCCCCGGGGCCGCGTGCGTCACCGTGGACCGTGACTCGCTCGAGCGGCACGGCGAAGCTGCACGGCTGGTCCCCACTGGTCGTGTGTTAATGCCACCTAGAGTCGATGCACGGTGCCGAGGGTTGCAATCCCGGGTAGTCGATAGATCCCGGGCGTATTTTGCTCAATATCAGACGTAAGTGCCGACGACTCAGGCCTTCCGGGAGCAATCAACCTAGTTAGCCTCGGGACAGGAGACGCCCCCATCCCCCTCTGCGCTCTCGAGCGCAAGGGGCTTCGCACCCCCCCCCCCAGCTCTCTTATTATGCTGCATCTTTTTCCCCGGGTCCATAGCCCTACCCCCCTCCCTCTCGCGCTGTTAGAAACTTGCCTCATGTTCCAGCCAACCGCAACCCTCTCCCCCTCTACCCCGTCTGTCTCTCCCCACCCCCTCTCTCCCTTTCTGTCTCTTTCTCTCTCTGTCTCTCGCTCTTACGCCCTCTCCTTCTCTGCTTGTTCCTGCCCCCCTCTGGACCGCGGGCACGACATCAACAGGCGCATGACTGGGTAGCAATGCGGTGCTGAGTACAGCCCTCCCATCCGTGCCCCC